GTATGAGGGTTTTACTATTCCTTGTTCTTTCATTCTATCAGAAATGATTCATCCTTTAAAGGATGAATCATTTCTGATCGAATGAAAAGAAATACTTAATGTAGAAGAACATGTGCATTGTACAGTGATATCGTGCTTCGTTCTCGTTGTGTGAATGTTATCGCTCTTGTTCGATAAGAACAAGGAATACTAACACCCTCATACGGTGTGGACGGAGTTGTGCTGCTGGTCGTGCCTTAACTCTGTCAAAGACCCTTGAGAAAGTTTGAAACCTTGTGACGATATACAGTACGTATATAACATCATTCTCTTTGAAAAGCTTAAAACGTTTTTCTCTTTTCAACTTCACACGTCAGCTGAGCACATGAAGTGCACGGTTAAGAAACGCCACAAAAGACGGCCCTATGGTCTATCATCAAGACGAGACCCTTGAGAAAGGTTGAAACCGGTCGTGGTATCTTCTTTTGATTCTTTCAGAAATGAATTCTGCCTGAGTCTCTAGTAACTATAAAGCGGTTGTAAAATTACTAAATACAATTAATATTAAGTCGAGTTTCACATTTATATATTGTTTGTTTTAGGCATGACACTCACTCTCTCGAACTTGGCAATATTCAACTTGTCTATCAAACTAGTACCCAGGTCCAAGTATCAGATAACAAGATCCTGGAAGATCATACACGAGCTTGAAGAATCATATAGTGAAACATCACAAGATTTCAAAAATCCTACAAATTCTTATCAGTTCCCTGTAAGATCTTACAAGATTGCATATGACATCTTGTAGCAAGATTCTTATAAGATTTTACAAGATTTTTCTTATGATAGGCCATAGGGCCGTCTTTTGTGACATTTCTTACCCGTGCACTTCATATGTGCTTAGCTGACGTGTGAAGTTGAAAAGAGAAAAACGTTTTAAGCTTTTCAAAGAGAATGATGTTATATATGTACTGTATATTGTCACAAAACTTATGTGGTAGAGATCAGTCATCGATCTTATAAGATCTTATGACAAGAATTCATATGATCTTGTAAGATCTTGCAAAATCTTGTGGCAAACATTGTTGACTTTTATATATTTTCTTGTCACAAGGTTATATAAGATCTTACACGATCATATGAATTCTTGTCATAAGATCTTGAAGATCTTACGACGAGAAGTTACAAGATTCCATAAGATCTTACATTATCTTATAACAAGACCTTGTAAGATCATATCGTAAGATCTTATTACAAGATTTCGCAAGAAAATCTCAGATCTTGCAAGGTCTTACAAGACGTGATTTCCTGAGTGATGGTACACACAAATTGAAGATTCACACATACTTCCTAGTTCCAACTATTCATTTAAAATACTTGACATGAATTAGTTCAACAGTAATTCACATTGAAACAACTTCAACCGAATTCAACACTTCCAGCTTCGACAATTCCAACATCGGTAAAGCTCGCTGCTTATCTTGACAAGCGATTGCACAACACCGCAACAACTTCACCTCGAAAGTTATTTCAAGCTGCTGTAATGGATAAAAATATTGACAGTGAAAGTGCATTATCATTGATAAAATTTCGTATAGGTTCAGTAGCAGGGTGAATTGTAGGTGGAACCACACACACAAGTTTTCTGTTTCACATTCTAGTCACTTGTTATTTTTTCTGTCTTCCTGATATATAATTAACTTTAATTTCAGAATTTACATAAGTAATTAAACAACGAGACGAAAGAAGACTATATACGCACCACAGTATCTGGCGAGAAAAAATATACACAAACAGTTATTCTTTTAAACACACGTCAAATGTTATGAAGCATTTTCTTAAACTGTTCACACTGTGCATTGGGTTTTTGTAATAAATATGGACTTACAAGGGCTGTTGTCATGTATGTGCTTGCAGTTTTACGAAAACCTAGTTTGACTAAGCCACGTTCAATTCCATTATAATGTTCTTTACCATAAACTAAATAAAAGTATTTTATATTTAATGATGATTTATCCATTAACATTTCTACGGTTGCTAAAACATATCGATTACGTTCATCTAAGATAATCTCGTCAGCCATAGAAGTAAATGTATCGTTGTTATCATTATTCTTATTTAACAAAGCAAGAATGTAAAATATTTTTGAAAGTCGTTGACAGTCCGAGGAAATATTTTTTGATTGTAATTGTTCAATTTGTTTCTTTGTTACTAATTTAGTAGGTATTCTCGGTTTTCTTCTGTAATTGTCATTCATTGACTTGAGACGTGTTGCATTGTCCAGTAATTCAACCACATCAGACAACATCATATCGGCATGAACAATTTTGACATGGTTAACGGAAAAATTAGCCAATAAAACACTTCGTTGAGTTACTAAACCTGAAAAAATAAATAAAATTTCTAGGTAAGACCTTTTTTACTCACTTACAGTAATATGTAGGTATGATACGAATCGAGCGCGGGAGAAAAGGAAAACTTCAAAAAAGGAGTTTATGACTAATTTTCGACTTTGGGCTAAGAAGGAATTCAAGAGGTTTTCTGTAGAAAATTGAATTTCCGAAGTAAAAGTCTCTTAACTTATCTCGCTAAAGATTTCCTTCATGCTTAAAAGGCAAAAATTAACCTAAGAGTCATTACACGAGAGAGACGACCCAACGCACTACAGCTTGCTCAATTTTTTTTTAAAACTTAATTCGAATTTTGCCAGTACTAAAGTTGAGTATATTCTGAAATTTTTAGCCTATAGAGTTGTTTCACTGATCGAGAATAAACTTTTTATCTCGACACATCACTCTTCCGCAGCATTAATGACTTTTTGTATGGTCTGGCGTTATTCACCAATAACGTTTCCAACCGAGATTTTTGGTGGGTAAGGTGCCGGAAATCCAAAAGTCGAGCAAAGCAAATAGATCGGGTCGAATCATACACGGTTTGATAGAGCTTTCGAAGCTGATTTAGAATATATTACTTTTAGTTTTTTTAAACTTTGTTCTACGGGCGTAATAGGTGAAAGACAAAAAGTCACAAAAAATCGATAATTTTCATAAGTTCAATGATGTCTACAAATTTTCCACTTTTTCTTCGCCTCGATTTTTTCGAAATAGTTTTATTCAGAATCAGCATGGAAAACTGAGTACATCCATAGGTTTTAAAAAGAATTTTATCGTTATGATTCGTTGTGGCTAGCTCAACAATATTCGCATGTGGCACACTGACTTCAAGATCTTGCAAATCTATCTCCTTTTTTGTCTGACGAGTTGAAAGTCTGTTTCATATACCGTTCGAGTTGTCAGGCACTAGGGAAAAAAATGTACAGAGGATTTTTCAAAATTTTGTTGTTTCGCTGCGATAAGTCCATTTCACTTATGACCAAGGATAATCCAATCGACCACTTTTTCAAACTTCTCCTCAGTTACTGTAGTTTTCATTTTAACGGTGTCATATAGGTAAATTATACTGTAGATTATCATGCACTGACTTACAAGACTCCATTGAGTCTTATAGGGGTATGAGAAAATCCAACGATAAATAAGACTTTAGGAACTATATTAGCTAGCAAAAACGCATTGTATGGGAAGAGAGCCACAACTTCTACAGATTCTAGTCACGTCTTACGTTTAATTGAGCTTGAAAACATCAACAGAGTAAGAATAACAAGAACATGAGACATGTGATAATTCACATGCCTAAGACAAGACAAACGAAATCACAACTGAAGATTAGTATTCGTAACTTTTCTATGAGACACGATATCGGGCTTACAATGTCCACTGAAAAACAATTGAAGAACTTGATGATACGTTTTTCCATTTTTGTACGCGCCGAGTGCCCGCCAGAAGCGTCGATAAAGCTTGAGCTCAATCCTATTTGCTTGAAATGTTCTCGGGAGGCAGGAATGAGGCGCATCATGGTCAGAAATGTCCGACCACTTCGTTGCCTGACGAACCTTTTCATCGAGCACCATAAACCCTTGATCGGGTTGAGTGCGCAATGATATTTGAGGCAAAAAATTTTATTTTGACATTGCACTTTGTTGCTAACTTTTCGAGTCTGCTTATATTTTGAAAAGCAGAATGTCCCAAAAAAATGTGACGCAAATCGTTGAGTTTTATGTTATCATTGACAGCAACTTTCAGTTCTTTCGCCAACATCAGTAGACCACTGGATTTACCCTTGTGTCTACCTTCCCGAAAAATAACATCAAGTTTCTCTTACATTACCTTTTTCATCCACGTACTCGATGAACTGGACTGGGCACCGAGTTCCAATGCCCTTGCCAAAATCATTCATAGTGTATTCTTTGGCCGAATGCGTTCTAGCATTGTCAACTATGGTTTCCACATCGTGGCCTTTGTATTCTGTTTTGAACGGAAGTAACCGAAAGAGTTTTTCAAATTGTCCTATAATTGTGTCACTATTGAAATATGCTGCTTTTCCAAGATTGATACTTGCTGTAGCCGAATGTTGGACATAGTTCAAGTCATTATCATGAAGCAAACTCGGATATTGTTCTGATGCTTGTCTGAATTCTGCTTCGGTGAGAGAGAAAAATAGGCCGGAAGGATGAGATACTAGAAAATCTGAAATCATGTGGCGTCCACCACGGCCCTTGCTAAAGAATGGAGTTTGTTCACCAATTGTAACTGTATAGTAATGATCTTTTCGATCGAGAAAATAAGAAACAAAGTTTTCCCGGTGAGTAACCACATCCGATCTTTCATGTCCTTCAAAATATGGACGATTACTACTAGCTGTAAATTTCGCTCCCCACCGTCTCAGATCGAGCCAACAACTTCGCTTTGAGCGAATGAGTTGATCATCGGTTTTCACTGTTTCAGTAATTTCGCAGTATTTTATGTCAATAAATTTGGCCAAATCAGCTGCCGTAAAATCTGCGGATTTTTGGGAGGAAGCTGTAATAGCATAAGATTTTGCTTAGACATAATTTTCTATTGCCTTTTTCTATACGAGAAAATGAAGATGAAGAAAAACGAAATCGAAAATATCTGTATATGTTCGTCAATACAATTTGACTTGAACTTTTCTTTAACGTGGAATGAACTGTCTATAAGATCTCTAGTTCTGGAAATATGTCATAGAAAGACGAGAAATGTTTGCCACCGCGGCTATCGTCAATGAATGTTGCGTAGTCACCTGTTAGAAATATTTCTGTCCATTTATGAGCTATTTCACATCGATAACCACCAATGTTTCGAAGAATATCATCAATAAATCGCCAATCATGGCTCACGTGG